AGGTGCGTATCGCTTACCGGTTCCTTTAAATGATTTTCGAATATTTCAGCTGTCGATAATAATTGATCGTTTGTAAATAAAAATTAGCTTCAGCTTTTTATGCGAGGTGTCATCCTTCAAAAAAGGGCTTAATTTTAGAGATATTTATTCATCAATCATAATTAATGAAATAGTTTCACTGGAATAGTTAAAGTACATGCTTGAAAAGTACTCTACAAGTAAATAATTCCTTAAAATATTGCACGCATGATTGTATAAAATTGCGTGTTCACTTCCTTACTTTACTTCAATTATAAAAATTTAACCTGACCACGATGCAGGCTTCAACTCAAGCGCTGGTTTGCTGCCAAAAATGCAGGCAGTAGTAAATTGGTTTATGAAATGTAAATATAAAGTGCTAGAATATTTTTAAAGCATTCAATAAAGTTGTATTGAATTTAGCAAGTTGAAATTGTCGGCGTGCGCCGCTGCCGAATAAGAGTGCACTACGAATATTTCAATTTATAATAGATGCACGTTTGATTAACCTCGCTAAAAAGAGATTAAGAACTCGTGTAAAGTATTAGACTTGTTATTTTATGTGCTTAGCTTGGCTTGTTACGAAGTCCCTTTGAATGGACGTGGAGCTGCGCTTTGATGCCATTTTATCTCACAGAAGAGCGACACGAGTCGAGTTTTGCAGCAAGTTGCCTGCGAGTTTCTTTACTGTGAGTTCCTAACCAAATATTTTTACTGAATTCCTTTCGACATTCCCAGTTACTCGTACAATTATATTAAAAAACTATCCACCCCGTGACAAAAAACAACTCTGCTTTTGATTAGTAGAGATTTTGATCAGTATACTTTTGATCAAAAATTTTCAGTTCAATAAATCCCAAATAATTTGGAATTGTCATTTCGATTTGTCGTATTTGAATAGAAAAAAATGACAGGATCGCATTCAGTCAGTTTGTAATTGTCGAACAAAAGCGGCTTAAAACTCATTTTAGACACCAATCAGTAACTCTTTGTTATGAATAATCTTAGCGTTTGTTCTCTAAGTTCAGCGTTGAAAAAGTGTTCAGATTATTCCTGCAGAGAGGACTTCGCAAGAGTTGTTTCATTAGTGACCGTCCGCTGAAATATGGGGAAATCTTTTAATATTCTAAAGGGTGTGCAATTTGTGCACAAAAACGTAACAGTTAATGAGTTCCTTGGAAAGGGCGGCAGCGCGGAAAGGGCTTCGGTGCGGAGCAGCAAAGGCGAGAAACTGAAAATGAGAAATGGCCCGACAAACCATGGGCTTTAATTTGCATTTCTTTACAGAGATTTGCAAATTTTGTATTCCAGAGAGAAAATATGATGTGCTTCGCGCAGTTGAATAGAGAAGAATGAAATCGCGACTTGAAGATTATCATATTTTATGCCAAAACATTTTTAGAATAAATGGATGATGCTAATCATTTCATTTTGTTAAAAGTTATTGTAAATTAATCTGTGTCCCTAAATTACATTTATTCAGTAGAAAATTTCACACTTCACGCTAAAACTAAATGAATTTATTGTAAAGTAAGCAATTTCGAGCAATACTTGACATTGCTTTGCCTCGCATCATCAAGGACCTTTCAATTATTGTCCTGAGCGACACGTAATTGAAATGGGTTTCCTCCAAGGAACTTCCATTTCTCCATATTGCGTTCAAGACGTCATTAGGTTGAAAGCTTCGAGTGGCAGAAGGATTTTTTAATTGGGTCCTACGGCTGCGTGTGGGACGTCTGCCTTTTGAGCATCGTATCTAGTTGTGAATGCCGACTTGTAAAACACAAATTGAAGAAATTGTCCTAAAAAATTGAAGTTTTGCTGGAGCCTTCACAGTAAACTTGAGTTTGGATAAAATATCTTGCACAGTAGCGACGATGTGAAGACTAGAGTGAGGTATCACATCTAGTACTGTAGTACAGAAATATAGACTAGAGTGGAGCATAACATCTTGTACAATAACGAGGATTTATAGAATAGAGTGAAGTATGACATCGTGTACAGTAGCTAAGATGTTTAAAGCTGAGTGGAGTATAGCTTCGTATATAGAAGCGAACAAGTGCAGACCTGGCTGGGATATAACGTCTTTCGCAGTAGTGAGTGTCTCTAGACCTGAGTTTGGTCAAACATCTCTACTACCCTCAACAACACATGCCCCAACAACACCTGTCCAGCCACCCTCCCTACCTGTGCAGGAGGCACTCAATCAATTAGTCGCAGGTGCGCAGGTTCCCAAGGGCCCTTGTGCGGCAGGTTCATTTAATAAGATCGAGTGACCGCCGATACAAGGCTTAAGGCCTACAAGGTTCACGCTGCCCAGCGCATAATTCACAATCATGGCCGCATTATCGACGGCCATTTACGGTTCATGGAACACGGAACTCGATTCGCATGTGCATGTCTAGAGGAGCGTGTAAATGTCTCACGCTGCTCAGTTACTAGCGATGTGCCAAAGACGACTCAATGTCGGTCTGTTGCTGGACATTGTGAGCTGTAAAGAACTCTGAATGGTCTTGTATTGGTCTAATATAAACCCCTAATATAAGCTACCAATATCAACCTCCAATATAAGCCTCCGATATAAGCCTTCAATATAAGCCTCTAATATAAGATTCTATGTAAGTATCCTACTTCAGCCTCCAAATCAGCCTCTAATAAAGCCCGCCAATATATCTACCTCGATTATAACTCCCCAAAATCAGCCTCTAGTAAAGCCCTCCAATATCAGCCCCGAATATAACTCTTCAAAATCAACCTCTATTAAAGCCCTCCAATAGCAGCCCCGAATATAACTCTTCAAAATCAACCTCCATTAAAGCCCTCCAATATAAGCCTCGAACATAACTCTTCAAAATCAACCTCCATTAAAGTCTCCAATATAAGCCCCGAATATAATTCTTCAAAATCAGCCTCTATTAAAGCCCTCCAATATCAGCCTCGACTATAACCTTTCAATATCGACCTCTCTTATACGTATAAAGCTGTTTTCTGTTGTCTCTGTCCAAAATCGGCGCCGAACTCATTTAATCCCGGGATCAAGGGATATTGCAGTAATTACAGGCCGGCACCTCGCCTCTGCTTCTTCACCACAGCAAATTAGAAGCCAATTTAGTGAAGCTTTGCCTTCTTTGGAAAAATTTACATTAGTTCTAAACATGAACCGCTAAAACATTAACCTTTCCGGCCACAGCTGACGTCATTAGTACATCAATTTTTGTGCTGAAATTGCTGGGCAATGAAGAGATCAGGCGCCGGTGAGAAAATTGTTTGTCGAGGCCTGCCTGAGTCTTGTTCCAGTACGCACTCTATGAAATACTAAGCTTCCTTATTCCTACGCTTACGACTCTCCTATTTAATGCTCACTCTTTGTTATTTGACATTTTTTTAATAAAAAGAAACTACTCGGTCTCTGATGAAAATTCCGATTTGGGTGCTGTGCTGTTGAAGGCGTTGCAGTTGAATGAGATGCATGAAATTTTTGCGTAGCAGATGAACGCAATGCTTTTGCGGTGCAGTTGAACGCATTGATGTTGAATAAAATACGAAACTGTTGAATAAGATGTGGTGCTGTTGAATAGGATGTGGTGCTGTTGAATAGGAAGCAGAGCTGTTGCATAGAATGCCGTGCAGTTGCACAACTGTTGAAGGCATCTTAGTTGCGTCCTCGTTAGCCGCATTCTAATGCCCGCCTGAGACAAGCCCCCCAATAAATATTTGATGTGTTGTCTGTTGGTAATCTCACTGGTACACGACTTGCCGCTTGTCTAGCATCAGCAATTATTATCGACTGCTCTATTAAAGACGTCACCCTACCTGGATAGCGTGTGCAATAACGGACTCATGGCTGGGTCCAGGAGCTGCATAAGTCATGAAGACTCCTGCTACAGTTGCAGCAGCAAAAGCTCCTCATCGATTGATGGATGTCTTCGGTCTTGCTTGTATGTCGCGCATAGCGAAGGTCTTTGTGTTTCACATTACAGCGCGCCAATACGACAAAGAAATATACGATGACTGATACTCCTTGCACCTCCCAGTGTAAGTAAATAGCAGTATAAAAGAATGCTAAACGGCTGCAAGTTCTTTTGTTCGGTCTTGCATTACTTCTTCATGACATCATTATTTTTGGCTCGACAAATGTCTCATTATAATCGAGACCTCGGAGCAAACACAACGTAGCCTGCATGACGTAGCCTGCATGCCGTGGCCTGCATGCCGTGGCCTGCATGACGTGGCCTGCATGACGTGGCCTGCATGACGTAGCCTGCATGACGTAGCCTACATGACGTAGCCTGCATGACGTAGCCTGCATGACGTAGCCTGCATGACGTAGCCTGCATGACGTAGCCTGCATGACGTAGCCTGCATGACGTAGCCTGCATGACATAGCCTAGGTCGAATATAGCGTGCCCAACAAGCGTCATTACCAATAGACGAGACCTTGTGGAAATTAATTAATCCCTAATATTTAGATTAAGGGATCAATATTGGAGTCAGAACTACCAGATATTCTCTGTCCAAGGTTATTGAATAATCTAATACCGCTTCTATTATTCAAAGTCAGAGCAGCGAACCAAGTTGGCAAAGAAGATAACGTCAACATAGCTCGTTGTTGATAGCGGCGTCCTATAACCTGGCTTTGGCTGGTATAATCAATGTAATTCTAGTTTTGTGTATCCGTTGAATAGCATTTCTACATCTAGATGAGCGATTTTGATAAGCTGCTAATATGATTAAGAGGAGATTAATAAATTTTATAGAAACACTTGGAAATAATGAGCAGATTTTATCGTCTTTTAAAAATTTGAAAGGAAATTTCCTAATTAAATCAATTATCAAAATGAATGACCAATTAAGTAACAATCACTAAACCTATTAAGAAGAGAATCGATTCTTATTCAGGAACGTTGGAAATAACATAATTTATTCGTTGGAAATAAGATAATCACATTGACAAATTACGCTCGGGTGAATAAAATGAGAGCTTCATTTAGTAAATACTTTATTAAATGGGCTTACAAAAATATTTAGTCAATCCCCAAAATCACGAAAGTTTACATGTAAGGAATTCATAGCACCTCCTATATTGAGGAATAATTGTAAGCAAGTGCAGCGTCGTCCTTCTTCAGATGTTGCGTGGTCCAGAGAACAAATTTTGAGTGCAGTTATTACCATAATATCCTTAGGTTCTTTTAAAAGCTCTTTAGGCGATTGAGGAAACATCTAGAGCATAATAAAATAACTATATGAACGAGAATATTTATCTCTTGACTAGTTGTTCCTAATTAACCGTGTTCTACTTCTGCTCGAATTAGACACTATTCGGTGCGCGATTGTGGAATTTACCTGCAAAAATTAACGGATTGTGAAAATCGTTTAACTTGGTCGAAAGTTTTTGCATTAGGTCGGGGATTTATGGCATGGAATTTCCGATTTATAATATATATAAACATGCAAGTTATTTATTCAAGTTTATATTAATATTTATTTGTATTATAGATTATACTGATATCAATCAAGCAGTGGCTATGAATATCGACGGCTGGACATAAATCTTATACATTGAGGGTCATATCCTCTAACTCCTTTTTACATATAGAATTTGATCAGATTTTAATAGTTAAGTGAAGTTTCTCATCATTGCTTGGTCTCATATTAAAAATGTAAGTACAGAGTAATTTCTCATTTTTGGATTATAGAAGAAAATTGTATTTTGAATAAAAAAATTTTGAATTCAGTCAAATTTGAAATCGAAGCTGTTTACTGCATTATAATAATAATGGCCAGGGCCAAAATTACGGGCAATATGGAGGCACATGCGTCGCCTACAAAAACCGAGTACAAATTAGTCATGAAGAAATTCAATTTATTGATGACATTTTTCAATTGATTCTGACATTTTTTACGTCTGAAGAGCGTTCCGAACAAGAATACAACCGCGGGCATCTGAGAATTTCGGAATATTTTCAACACGACCTCCACTCTTTTTTCTTCTTAAATTAATGAACATCAAGGATATGACGGTGACAATATTCAATGTTTGAGAAATGCCTCACGCGCACAATTTAAGTAGAACAAATTTAATAATTAAGATCATAAATAAATTATATATAAACTAATTCTTAAAAGAACATCGGCGTTAAATGCTAACTCATAATTACAACCAACTGTATGATAAAAAATAACGAATAGGTACAAAATTTCACATTTTTAACGATCAAAATTTCTAACAAAGTTCAATATTACAACAACGATGAAAAAAGTTGTTTCTCAAGAACACAAACTAAATCATTTCGGCCTTTAAGTCCAGCAATACTATTGCAAATAACTCGAATTTATAATTTAATTAATAATAACAAATATTTGTACACTTCAGTTGTCTGTGATCGCCAGTGCAGAGGTATAAAGTGCACAACCTAAGCGATAAGCCACAAGCAAATGGGAACCCTTAAGTCCTAGAAAATAAGGATTTTGGTTCGTGTTTTAGATCCCTTACTAATTCCTGGTACATGCATGGTGCATGCTTGTTTTAAAAATTACTTGATGGTTACCAATGAGTGAGTTTTGCGAAATAATCATTTAAACTCATTAATATTTATTCCTAACACGTACAATATAAACATTGATAATGTGAGGTCATAAGATGTGCGAACTTCTACAAGTTCATCCAGAATCAAAGTACAATAAAATATTTAATAAGAAATATACATCGATAAATCCCCGGGAAAAAAGCAATGCCAGAAATTTATTCTTAAAACTAATACACACTTATTAATGTGTGGTCAATATTCATAAGTATAATTATTTGTCACAGTGACATGAAGGTTTATTGTCCGTTATAATACACAGAGAATATTCGGATTATTATTTATAGCGTAGCATTTGGCTGATACGTACGGTGATGATGGTTAGTATCTTATGCATTTGGTTGCACTTCGATAAACGATATCATATGATAAAGAGTATGATGATTAATTGTAAGTGGAAACGTCCAAAATTTATTTTTATTATATAATAAATTTTATTAATTGTCCACGTCTGACGCAAGATTTACGTACTCGCGAAGACGACACTCAATGTTGTTGCCAGTGTTATGTTCCTAAAACATTTCTGTAATACATTATTTATGTTGTATGAGTTCCATATAGTTCAATCTCGTAAGCTTATAAATTAAACTATCACACACTAGTTAAATTCTCCAATTAAAGCGCTTTCTAATCTAATATTTAAAACAATTAAAGCTATTCTTTGCTCATATACAATCATACAGCTATCATTGCATCCAAAAATAAATTCAGACTACCACAGCATTCTTTATAATTATCCATACATCGTTCTGATCGACTTATATATGTTGTAGGATATTATGCGACAATTTCTGACAGTAACTTGCTTTAAAATGTGTGTGGTCCAGAAAATTCGGACCGGTGAAAGTAAAATCCGTAAAGAGTAGCAGTTATCCTATGTTCATATTCATGTCAAGTATGTCAAAAAATACGCAAAAAATGTGAAAACTACATTCTTCATTTTAAATATATCTCAGCAAGCATCCACGACTGACTCAAGTTTTGTTCACTCGTAAGTTATGATGTTGACTTCTGATAAAAACAAATATATAATTCCAAATCGGCTGCCGTGCCTTGAGTTTTCACAATTTGGGAAGATTTAATATTATAAATTAGAAAAATTTTACCTGAAGGAAACATATGATCAAATCTCTTTTAGTGGGTTAAATTAACTAATTCGGATATTGCAGAACAATAAATAATCCCTTGTAGGGAATTCCGCAGCGTTTAATTGCTTTTTAGAGTCGCATTAATTATCTATCGAAGTTATACCTAATTGACATGCCTCAGTTAACCGTAAATTTATAATCTTTTGATGTTGTGAACGAATTTTCTTACTGCAATGGATCTGTTCATGCATTAATAATAATCTATGATAAACTGAGGCATGACGGTCATAACTTATTAAGTTATTGCGACCCTATAAATAAAAGAAATGAAAGCTTCATCAATGAGTATTATTAACCTGGTGATAATATACAGTTGCAGTTTGTTTAGAAAAAGGTTTTATCGTTGTATAGTTTCGTATTTTAAGAAGTTTGTTTCTTTTACGAGCGTCAAATAATAGATGATATTTAGGAGATGTGATTTCGTGAGAATAATTCTATTTAAAACTGCATGTTGCATAGGACTGGTGTCGCAGTGATAATCAGAAATAAAAATTCTCGTTAAAATCGAATACGCACGTCAAAAAATCTGTAACTCCCTGAAGTCTATGAAATAGTAAGACAGTTTAGAGGAGTTAAAGGATGCATTAGGTGAGGAGACCTCTTAAGTTTCTCCATGTTCTCCAAGAGAAGAGTGTTGGTCGGGTCGTGAGTCTGGGCGTTGAGATAGTGGTGCCAGGCTCGTGCGAATTCACCCTGCAAACACAAAAATATACCGAAATTCATTAACAAATTAATAAATAGGTCAAGCTTTAGAAAGGCATCAAGCTTTAGGATGCAGCAAGCTTTAGAAAGCATCAAGCTTTAGGAATCTTCAAGCTTTAGAAAGCATCAAGCTTTAGAAAGCATCAAGCTTTAGAAAGGAATGCATAAGTACTGCATAAATGCAGAAGTTCAGCATGGGTACTCCACTGGAATAGATTAAATGACGGAATGAATAGTGCGGAAAATTTGCAAGTGTCTCGTTTGTTTTTGTTTGCTGATTTTAATGATTTATTATTGGAAAAATACATTTTGTGAATTTGAAAAATAATTGAAAGGGAATACAAATGAATGGGGTACGAAATACAATCATCGATTGAGGTGACAAAAACATATGACGAATTAAAAAGCGTAGCTTTCGTTTCCTGTGATCGATCCTGCAGGATTTCAGCTTATTGTCGCTGTGTCATGTAACCGCATCATATACGTATATTCTTTTTATTAATAACATGAATTTTTTTCGCGCTGGACTAGAATTTATGAGGCGGTTTTATGTGAGGATTGCAATGAATGAGGTTCTATAATGATATTTCTTGCAATACATCCATGCTAATTGTAGAGAAATAATTTTAATAAATTTGTCTTATTATTGCTAATGACCTAAGAGTGAAAAATTTCACAATGGTTGATGTTCGGCGTGAGGGTTGCAAAGAATGATGTTTATGACGGTGTTACTTGCAATGAATTTATGTTGGTTGTTAATAAATATTGTTAATGAAATTTTCCTAGTAATTATACTAACCTTAGAGTGGAAAATTGCACCCAGGTTGACGTGAGCGTGACTTAAAGTTGAATCAAACTCCAACGCTGCCTCGTAGCTCTGAAATGAGCGATATAAAGCGCACATCAGTATTCATATAGAATTTGGTTAATCTGGTTTAAAATATGTGAAAAAAACTTTCCGCAGGCAAAATTTTACTGGTAATAAAGGTGCTTCTTTTTCGAGAACTGAGAGCGTCTGTCGCAGAAAGTCTCTGACTGTCACCGCCGACTCGGCAGCCTCCGTTTATTTTCTCAGTAAAAATTGAATTTTCTGCTAATCTTGCTCAAGCAGAAAAGCTTTAATGATATCCTAATGCTCAATTTACGATGGCTTTAAAATAAATTATTTTACTTGATTATACCGTGTTAAACGTATTTTAAATATTTGATTAGAAATTAAAAATTTTAAGCCTTGCTCTATTTTTATGGAAAAATACACTCCAGGTATTAGATGCGCATGTTGTTTCTTGTTGCCTAGTACACTACCGATCCATCATTTTACTTTGTTTTCTACTTGATATATTTAGCGTAACATTGTAATAGAATGGCTATATTATTTCAATTGATAAATCTGCCTTCACTTTGATTTTAATTTCAAAAGTCACAAGATGACTTGAAACTTGCATCTGCAATATTTTCATTTCTAATCCTTATACCTTCTCAACAGGTTTGGATAAGCACGATCCTGGGGTTTAGCCGTAGTTTAAATTATTAATAAGAATAATCTAAATACTATATTTGAGACTTTTCAATTTAAGATCAACCTTCATAATAAAATTGATTGGTTTACAAATCAAACCCATCGTTACAGTAACACCCCACTGAGAGTGCTCGAGAAATTTAATTTGTAAGAAAAGTTACAAGAAAGTGTTATAACTCGGCCAAAGAGCAAAGCTTTCCTCAGGCTGGGAAATGTTGTTCCCGGTATACTCGAAGCTTTACAATCAATTAAAATAAATCATAACACCAACATGTTCCCACCTTCTGCGCGGCGTCGGTGCGGTGCGCAGCGTGCAGCAGGTCTGCTCTGTGCGCAAGCAAGTGAGCGCAGACAGAGCAGGCAACAGAGCAGTGGTCGGCCGCTGCGCTGGCCACCTCCAGCGCCTGCGCCGTGCGGTTTGTATGCGCATACAAAAGCGACAGCTGTAGCAGGGCTTCAGGGTACGATGGGTCTTCGTTCAAAACTGACGTTAAAATTGCTTCTGTTGCTTCGTATTGACGTTGCTGGAGCTGCACGCGCGCCTGTAGGCACATTTGGTAACACTTGCAATGGTGAATTTTTTCGATTTTGTGACATTTGTAACAAAATTCAAGTTATTACGCGAAATTTTTATTACCTGATGGTCAGCGTAAGTTTAATGAAACCGTCAGAGAACAAAAAATAAACAGTGAAAAAGGCTAAATTTTCCAATTTCATGAAATACGGAGTAACGTCGTTGTCTTCAACATCCTGCAAAGTGAAAATTAATGTTAGAAAATAGCGATATTAATCTAAGATAATTTATTCAATCACCGGCATAAATTATGTTAGTGTTAAAAAAGTTTCAAAAAAGCTAAACCAGGGTGAGAATTCATCAATATTTCATTATATGATTACGAAAAATGTGCACTGCAATGACCTTGAGAATTATCGTTTCTCGAGATCAAAGTCAGTTATTGAGATAAAAATGCATTAGTTTCCTGGAAACACAACAGTTTCCCCACAATGTTTGCAGCTCGTCTCAAGCTGATATACCGAGGATCATTTGAAAAGCGTGAGACGTCGCAAGCTGACTAGCGACCAAGCCTTGAGTTTGCACGGAGCAAACAACGAGTCCGACTTTCCAGGAAATGGACACGTGTCTTGGCCGGAAAAGTTTTAATCAAGAGTGACGCTTCCGAGTCCCAGCGTGCTTAGCCGATGCTTGGATTTACACAAACTCGCAGACCCTCTGGGAATAGACGAGCTTGGAGGAGTTTCCATTCAGTTGCGTGGTGTCTAAAATGTCCCACAACAAATTAGCGAAATAGTGAAACTTTTCGTGAAATTCTCCCCAACAGAAATATTTGCTGAAGTAGACATTAGCCTAATTACTGTATTTAGGTCGAAGCACGAATTATTGAGTAAGGAAGAATTACATGACGTGATGCAGGGAGAACGCTGGTCATAAATTTTGTAACTACTATTTACATCAACCAAATTTCTGTACTCGAGTTTAATGAAAAATTAATAGGTTAAAAAGTACTAAAGGAAATATTGCAGGTAAAAGTGCTTCTTATTTGCGATAAATATTCACATCTTAAAATTATATAATCTAATATAATAAATACATAATTATTAAATAATAATAGATTGAAAATCAATGATAATAATGAAATATTCAACACATAAATCTATTATTTTTTACTTCTACGTAGCGAACGTCGTGAGAAATTTCATGAGCGAAATTAGACCCCATAATTCAGGAGTGACTTATAGCAACGTTACATTCTGCATAGCTTTAAGAACGATTTGGAAGAAAGATCTATATAAAGGATATAAGAATAATTTTGACTGTTAATAATTGCATTATAATATGACGTTACATTTTGCTTGTTGTTGTCATTAAGCTGAAATAAATTAAGTCAAATGAAAGTCCATAACATAATTTTTATTTGTATTCATTCAATGCAGTATACCGATTAAATTCTACATTCGCTTGAATTTTAATTTTTTTTCTTCATTTAATCAGACTAATCACAATCTCTTAAATCAATCACTTTTTTATGAATTAAAAATAGAAAAAATATTCACCAATGAAATAAATATTTCCGGGAGTTACATGAGATATATTACAATTAATATACGGAATATGAAGTTTTATTAAAAACAATACAGGAATGTTACGTCCAATTGTTGCTCAGCACTCAACGCTGGCTAAGTCAAAACTAATATTAAAAAATATAGTGACAGAGAGCGCATTTTCTCGTCGACGAAAACGTGAAGTCACGGACGGACAGACAGACGGACAGACGGACGGACAGATGGACGGACAAACGGACATGGCGAGCACAATAGTGCATTTTTTTCCTAAATGAGAAAATGCCCTAAAAACCGTTAAATGTGAACGTGATGGATATAATTTCAGGGTAGAATCAGTGGAAATCATTATAGGGAAAAATGGTTATTACATAATGTTACTATAGGAAAAAATAATGGTTATTAACTGAATCAGGGATGTGTTTGAAATACATAGTATGAATTTAGGTAAGATTTACCCAGATCTGCATATATAGCATATAAACCAAAAATACTGCATATACACAGTCACAGTTTTTTATTTAATATAAAAATCATCCGATTGTCGCTTTCAACTATCGAGACGAATTAATAATAGTTTTAATTACCATAAGGTTCGTTTTAAAGTAACGATGCGAATCCTCTTCACAGAAGTAACAAATAATTTCGCGCATTTACCAGTACAGAAATAATAACGAATGGTAGCCAGAATACTGTCAATGAACCACCATTATTCTAGATCATGAGGTATACGTGCGTAGGTACTCAGCAAGAATATCAAGTTTCCGGAGAAGACCGAAAATGTTTGCATTTTTAAGGTCTCGTTTTAAGCTTTGGATTTTTAAGGTCCGGGCTCGGTGCAAAGATATGCGCCCAGGACGGGAGCCTACTAAACAAAATGTGCGCATTCACGCGGTAGACGTTTTTGTAAAGGCTCGGTGCTAGAATGCAAAACAATTGACGGATGACTAAAAATAAATTGTATTCACTCTCAACACACACGTTTTTTCAAAGCTAATTGCTAGGTAATGTCACTAGGATTTCAATCTACAAAATACAATGTATGCACTCGCATTGAAGACCTTTCTATAAGGACTAGAATATACGTCAATTGTTGAGGTCTAGGTTGCCGAGGCTCTCGCCCACAACAGCCTCCCACTACATGCTTAAGGCTTTGAAGAAATAAAAAGTGTTATATTGAATTTTGTTCCAACAAATTTCAATGCATACACCCACTAAAGACACATTTTAAGGGCTTTGCGTCGGAAATGCACCTAAGGAATACAATTTATACGACCATTAGAGCTAAACATTTTTCAGTCCTCAATACTAGAATATACAGTATACATAATGGATAAACACCTACAAAATGTAATACACGTTCAATACACAATACATGCACTATATAACAGTTCATGAAGAGCTCCGTGCTAAGAAATGCCCCTAGGAAATACACATAAATGCACTCACGAGGTAGACGCGCCCCGCAAAATGTAATACACGTTCAATACACAATACATGCACTATATAACTGTTCATTATAAGGGCTCCGTGCTAAGAAATGCACCTAGGAAATACACTCCATAAATGCACTCACGAGGTAGACGCGCGTGGAGATGCGGTGGGGGAAGCGCTGCAGCACGGCGCTGAATGTCTCATGAGCTTCCTGCAGCCTGTCAGTGTTGAGGTACAGCTTACCGAGGCTCTCGCCCACACCAGCCTCCCACGACACGCTCAAGGCTCTGCATTTTGAAGAAATGCAAAGTGTTCCGTTGTAAAGTACATGAATTAGAATAAAATGTTGGGGGAATTTAACATATCGTAAATCACTCGTTAAATATTTCAGTTCTCTGAGGAAGGAAATTTGGTTAAATAGCGAGACGCTTCTTGGGTAAAGGTGTTGAACACATTCGTTTTTATTTATTTGTTTTATAATGGAAAATTTTTCAAGGAATTTGAAAAGTCACCTTTAGGAGTGCACGGGTTTCTTCATTTTCACATTAATTTTAAACGTCGCACTAGAATATGCAAGAAAACACTCAGATTTAGACTGTCAGACCAGTAAAATCATTTACCATTTAAATGCACTCACGAGGGAAAACGTGTTCAAAATGTGGCGAACTCAACTGAAGAAATGATTAAGACGGCCACTTGACACAAATAGATATGAAAATGCAATAAAACGACACGCAATTTCTAAACGCACATAAATCAAAATTTCAGGCGATTGAACTTTAGCTAAAATCAAAAGAGACCAAGCTAAGGTTGTAAAGTAATTTAACTGGGCATTACAAGAACATCTCATATTCATGATTCCTAACATGAAATTTATTTATTAAATGAGAAATTTTGTTCGTTTCTAATTCAGACTGACGCGAATTTAATATAATTATTGAGGTCGTGATCATTCTAAAATATTTACCAAAATTACTGAATGCACTGCAAAAAAGGGAATATTTATCTTTGTGCTCTCAACTAAGTATTTGTTACGAATTTTCTAACGTATTCGTCCAATTATCAATTATGACTTTAATATATTCGTCCAACGTTCTAACGTCACAATTGCTTAATTATTAAACGACGAACTAATCGTGAATAATATTATTTAAGTAAAAAAATTAAGGGCTCTAAAGATTATTTGATGAACGAAATCAAGAAACTAATTCATTATTCATTGTTTAAACTCAGGTTTTTATTATCATATGCAGCGAATTCTGAACATAAGATCAATTGTGTAAACGCGAGTGAGGAAAGTTTTTTGTGTGAATTTTGAATATATTCTGTGCGTGAAGATATATGAACTTATTCTTTAATAGAAATGGACTTTTAAATTCGAACTTAAAATGAGGACAAAATCATTCGGTTTTTAAACTTAATGAATTATATCCAGTCGGTTATATAGAAGTTATAAAAATAAACAAGAAAATGCACGAAGAAATATGCATGTTATGAAAGTAACATGCAAATTAATTTACACCACAATAATTCATAAATAATGTCATTGATACGAATGAGTCGCCATAAATACACCTTATAAAAAACAAATTTTTGAACAGTGAAGTTGCAAAACTTCAACTAAACTTCTAATACCAAATAAATAATGTTGGAGATCGGTGTTTGAACGTAAGTTAACCTACTGTGATGCAGTAACTACTTTATTGAACAAGATACTTCATATATATCTTGAAATTAGTACAGTTCTTGAGTCTTCGAAAATGTTCATCCAAAGGACATGCGTCCGAAAAATGTTTCCTTAAGATTTTAACATCAGTTACCATTCACATAATTCAAAACGCTGGAATAGATGCGCAAATAAAAATTTGTACTAAACTTATAAATGCAGCGTTTTTTGTAACTTTAAATTACTGTGAGCCTCTGTCACGCAATAATAATTGTCGGAATAATTGTAATCAATTCGATCGAATAATAAATAATGAATTTCTGTGAAACACGTTCTACTAGCTCGAATGGTGAGCCTCTCGTGTGTTGTAGAAATTACGTAGCTCCTTCACCTCTAACTTGCAAACCAAGAAAATAGAACTCCACTAAGTCTCATGCATCTCGAGCTACAATTGAATTTCTTACTTTCATCTAAAAGTTAGCAATGTGCCGCTTCGCAAATTTGAATTCAGAGAAGACAACTGAATTGGCCCAAGAAAATGCATGAAAGTCTTGCGTTTGTTTTAACATCGTTTGGAAAGGTACATGCTAATATATTCGTCGGAATTCGTACAACAATAAACACACATTCTGCTAGACAGCTGGTAAGTTCTCTTTGCCAAAAGTGAAGTATGATAATCATTACACGAATTTTATATTAAACTTAGGTACAAGCTAGCTAGTATTCTTATAAGAGAGTACTATGCACTATTCATGTCATAATATATTTATTGTCCAGAAGGCCACGGAGCAAATCTAGCTCTGACATTACACAAATTGCCAACAGGTACTGTGAATAGTAAACAACTTGCTTTCATATTTTAATTTCTTACACAAGACCTAGACCTATTCTTTTTTAACATTGCGACAAGAAATCAATTGATTAAACTTTTTAACATCGTCATCTCGTTGCAAATTCTAAACATTAGGTACGATTAGAATATTGCCTCATGGTTTATAGCTAACTTCCAGGTTTAAATAAATACTTTGAAGTGAAAGGAAAATAATCCTAATTGCATTTTAATAACAATGATAAAGGGCCAAGTCATTTGTACTTAACTCTAAGACTAATAATAAAAATCCCGATGTCATTTGATTGAAATCTAAATTAACACGAAATTCTTATAGGAGTTTTGCTCATTTGCAGTTCATGAATTCATTCATTGTGTATTCCACAAAAAACTCTTCTCTTGCGTAGGGTATGCATGCCAAGTCCCAGAGTGCAGGTTAGCATAAAAATCCATCGTACGCATGAAAGTTTCAAGCATTTACTATCTGCAGCTTCGAGCACCGAGGCAGGAAGCTTCGAATTCAACGCTAAGCCGATTTGCAGCTCAAATCTTTTGTGTTGCCGAGTGCAAGTCGGGCTCTCCAAATCGACGAACATCACATTGCTATCAGAATAAAAATCTGAGGACGTCAAAACAGATGGTGTGGAATTAAAATATTTTTTCGATCAAGATATTTTTTACTTTTTCGCAGCCTTTCGAATATCGTCAATTCCTACTCAATAACAGAAGGATTTTTTCGCTAACGGTGTTGAAATTTTAGAAATCTATTTGATAAGCCATCAATATTCGTGCAACTATTCATGATTAATATAAAAATCTTCATCAACCTAAAGAAAAATATCACCGGCCAGTGAGCATACTAAACCATGTATACTAACATAAAAATGTGATAAGAACGGTCATATGGCACAATTATTGACGTATAATTTAATAACATCTCATTTCGTCTAAAATTATAAATTTCCGGAAAATCTTGCACTGTTCACATACGTAAAACTGCAAATGAAATGAGAGCAACAGAAGAAATGACCAGCTGCCTTTACAAGGCCATAAAAAATACCTAACCGGGAAAAAGTCCCATAAAAATGAGAGTTGAATGAAGCTGAAACCCTAAGAAAAGAGCCACAGAATATCTCTGTGGTGAGGACCGGTGCAAAAATAATAAAGGCTGCGCAGTGCCTCATTAAGGGTAAGGACGTTTGTTACCTTCTGTAGAGGATCTCTGCGTGCTGGTCATGCTTGAGGGCCCTCAAGAGACGCGCCGTGTTCACCAGAGCAATAGAGTGCTCTGGGTCGAGGCTCAGAGCTGTCTCGTAGTGTCCCAGAGCTGCCTCTTTACGGCCTTCAGTAAAACAAATAACGTGCACGGTAAAACCTTCAGTAAAACAAGTAAAGTGCACGATAAAATATTCAGTAAAAGAAGTAAGTTGTACGGATATCCTTCAGCAAAAAAGTGCCTTCTACGGATAGCTTTAATTAAAAAAGTAGTGAGCTGTTAACCTAAATCACAACCTTTAGTAAAAGAAGTAAGTTGTACGGATATCCTTCAGCAAAAAATGGAGAATGCGACATGAGGAGAATGCGACATGAGGAGAATGCGACATGAGGGGAATGCGACATGAAGAGAATGCGACAGGGGGAGAATGCGACATGTGGAGAATGCAATAAAGTAACCATAAGCTTTGGCACCGCTCGGCTGCTCAAACAAAGCTATAGGATATTGCACAACATCAAAGCGCTAATACTCTTGGCTCGAGAAAGCCTAATTAGAATTTTATAAATGCTAGTAAGATTTATATACAGTCATTACACATATACAGTCATTTATACTTAGTGAACAATCCACACACGTGGTCATAATTTCAGATCCCCGTTGCTAAAAAATCCTTTTTACATGGTTTAGAAGAATTATTGCACGAAATTTATCACTAGGTTTTGTTTCAAAAATCTTCTCGTAGCAGTTTTAAAAATTTTGTAGAGACAGATTACTGTTTCTGAACGAAAATTCTTTTTTTTTTCTCGATAGTCGAAGAATAATGAATGGTGTTAGACCTGAAATATAGTAAGCTCTACTTAAAATGACTGCGCTTCTAGGCGTCGTATTTGTAAGGGAACCTAAGATAATAAGTTTATTTTATGATATCGAATAATTTTAAAGATATCTTATCAAATTATTCTCTGAAATGCAAACGAATTTTCGTCAGTAAATCAAGCGAAATGCTCATTAACTCAATACAAATGCTTTCAAGTTTCGTGATGCAATTTTTTTCATGTGGTGTCGGGGACGTACGTACGTCATACCACCACCCACCAGCCCTCTGCAGGAACGCTGCGTAGTTATTATGCGCAGCAGCATCCCTAGGAACAGCCAGCAGCAGCTCCCTATGGAGGGCGTCAGCGCTGGCGTCTCTGCCGTCCAGGACGTAGAGCTCGGCGAGCGCGCACACAGAGTCGCGGTGCGAGACGTCGTAGCGCAGGCTCGCCTCCAGCAGAGATATCGCCTCGGCGCGGGCGCCTTCTTTCCTTTATATTAGAGGTAATTAACTCATTATAACAAATAAGAAGGTTCTGTGTAGAATAACAAATAAGAATTTTTTATAATAAGAATTAGAACAAATTATAATGTACTGTATGCAAAATGCTGTCAATAAACTGAGAGCAAAAAATAAATGAAATTTTTTCTCATATTTTGCGACGAATGATATTAAGATAAAAAACTGTATTTCTTTGCGGGCAATTTACGTCAGGCAATCATGCTTGAATGTATGATTATTTATGTAAAAGTTTTCCAGTAAACTTAGAATGAGAACTTTATTTAATTACCTGCTCCAAATTTTTAATTGCTCATCGAGGAGAACTAATTTAGCTGTCATGATTAACTTTTCAAAAAAGAAGTATTCCATAAATAAACAATTATATAACATATAACACAACAGCTACACAACTAATCATCAGGTCGCATTTGATGTTCATTAGAATACTCTCAGTTTTTGTATTAAATTTAAGAATTAATTTAAGAAGTTCAGAAGAGAACTCACTGCCTGAGCATGGCGAGGTTGTAGCTGGCATGCGCGTGGTGGGGATGCGCGTGGAGCGCAGCGCGGAAATGCGCCTCCGCCATGCGCGTGTCGTTGAGCAGCGTGCCCAGGTTGTTGTGCGCACTCGCGTGGTCAGGCCACAACCTCAAGGAATATTATTGAAAGGTCTGAAATATTTTGAAGATTGATATATCATTGAATGGTCTGATATATGTTGGCGATTGATATACCAATGGAGGGTCTGAATTATGTTGGCGATTGATATATCATTGAATGGTCTGAAATATGTTGAAGATTGATATGCCATTGAATGGTCTGAAATATGTTGGCGATTGATATGCCAATGGAGAGTCTGAAATGTGTTGACGATTGATATACCATTGAATGGTCTGAAATATTTTGATGATTGATATGCCATGGAATGGTCTGGCATATTTTGATGATGATAATCCATCGAATGGTCTGAAATCTGTTGGCGATTGACATACCATTGAATTATCGAATATATTTCTGCGAGTGATATAATATTATGAGACTTGAAATCTTTCTGCAATTTGAAAAAATCACGCAGCATGTATTGCATATCATCATAAGTAAGTAATGATCAGGCCGTATTATTTTTATTTACATAAACACTATTCAAGACGAACCTCAGCCAAATTAGTGAAAAAGAATAAATTATTAAGGTTCTCTCGATAAAAAAATATAAAAAATTGGTACCTATATGTTTTCTATTCGTTTAATCTTTAGCTCTAAGTACAAAACTAACGCCATTATTCAATCTGAAGGACGAGATATAAATTTACTTCATTCATTCAGTTGATAACGGAAATATCTCAGCAACAGGAAATTTCTCAACGTAGTTTCCTGACAAGAAATGTAGCAAAAAGCATCGTCGCATTCCCAGTCATATTTATTTGCCATCACGAGCGCAGTGTTCAGCCCGGAAACACCTCCAAAATAGCAACATCTTCATCATCACAACTTTGCCTTGGTTGGCATATTCTCGGGAAGCGACAACATCATTTCCCTTGCAATGACTTATAGGGCGCCATTCGCTCATAGCTCTAAGCCCTACACCTCATGTAGATGGAGCAACAACGTTGCGCTCTTGTCATTACGAATAATATTGGGAACGTCAGCAACGCCATTGCTTATAATACAGGCCTTCTTCGCCGAGGTGATGGCCATTGGTCAATGTTGTAGCGTGAAATTACGTGAATATTCAAGAAGCTTTTTGTCATACGACATTGTATGGTTGCTGCCTGAAGACCGTCCTAATATTTCGTTCATTTCCTAATGAAACGCCAGTAATCTTCATTATTAAAATTGAGATTTAGATGTAACATCTGATGGCATCGCTCGATATTAACAAGTTCGATCAAATTAGATTGAATATTTTTGATTATTATTGACGCTCCAAAAATGCCTCAGAAGCACGCAGTCACTACAAGACTTGAAGATCAAATGCGATTCCCATAAAAAAGTATACATCTTTAACGTCTGACTATTATCTTAAACAATTAATTAATATTAATCATTTACTTCTTTACTATATTAATAACTGGTCTGTAAGAAAAATTTTTACCTCAGCAATAACAGATTAAAAAATATAGCGTGCAAACTTCAATAGAATTTAACAAAGTCATCGCAGCGAAATGATGGCCCAAGAATATTCCTTACAGTAATCTCGGTTGCGGGCTGACCAAATTATTCCAAGCAAGCAACTCGATCTGTTGTGGCGGCCAAAAGTAAGCGAGGAAGTGAGGCATCGCTCGCCTAATGTAGACATAAATTTGAGGTAATCAAGAATTGATGCGCACTTTGGCGCGATATTCAGTTAGACGCGCGGCGCACGACGCTCAATAAAGCTGTCGCGATGGCGCATATAGGCGCCCGTAGTCTCATTGGCCATTTGCCGACGTCAAGTCGACATCTTTTGCTGCGCTTATCAGTAACCTGACGGTATCACTGCTACCGTAATCAGCCAGCCGCCGAAGTCAAGTCAACATTTTATGTCGTGCCTATCAGTGACCTGACTGTATCACTGCTACCGCAAAAAGCCAGCCGCCGAAGTCAAGTCGACATTTTATGCCGTGCCTATCAGTGAACTGGCTGTGTCACTGCTACAGTAATTTGCCAGCCGCCAAAGGCAAGTGGACATTTTATGCCGCGCCTATCAGTGACATGTATGACTGTATCACTGCTGCCGTAATTTGCCAGCCGCCGAAGTCAAGTCAACATTTTATGCAGTGCCTACCGCAATCTGGACGCACGATTAAGCTGTCTATGTGATGCAGCTTGATGAGTCGCAGCTCAAAAGATGGGTGCGGATAATGCTACATTGAAACCACTCTTGAATGGCGCTACGTCGCGTCCATTGCCTGGCTTTAGTTGAAAGCTTCTCACGCGGGATTCACGTGAGTGATTGGCATCTAAGTGAGCTCGAAATTCCACTATGGAAGATTTATGAGCATCCAGCTTCTCTGCATCAAGTCTAAAGTAACAGACTCTCTAAAATTATTCCTTTTCAGCGTTACTCGATGTTTTCATGTTTGATTTATAGCTAACTGGGGAAGGATACTCAAGCTCTTAGGTGTCATTTAAACATTCACATAGTCCGTAAACATTATTTCACCCATTCACCGAATATGGAAATTGTACAATATTTGTTTCTCTTTTTCAATGTATTTACAGATAGTCACCATACATATTTGCCTGCATTAATCATATCTCTGTATCAACATATCCCTATCATTTTGGCCTCTCCGCTTCTCACTCTAGACAAATAATGGCGATAACATCAATGTTCGCCGGTAATTCATACTCGTTAATTTCGTGCATCAATTGCATTAGGGATGCAATTGAGAGCTTAAAATAGAATTGGAAATAGAACTGCCTGACACAAATGATTGGAAATTATATGTATGAAAACATCTCTTGTGCAACTTTCATTACACTTGCTGAACATAATTTTCCCAAATTATAATGATGTATCACACATATTCGTTTTTCCGCTCACCACATTTCATTTATAATAATATAGTTAATTTGTTTGATTAATTCACTGACAAATTAGTAGTAATTTACCATTATAAACATGGCATTTACCTGATAGCTTCCCGGTAGTGGAGCTGGGCCAGGTCAGTATTGAAGAGGTCGCGCTGCAGGTTGCCGTAGTTGTAGTGCATCTTTGCGTTGTATGGCATAGTCCGTAGGCCCGCACTGTTTACGTAAACAATATTTTGGATCATATAAATAATATGTGTCATTCCCATCAATATATATAAAATAAATAGTGTTTTCATGAGTGGCCCGCACATTTTAGATGGGAATTCTTTTGGATCTATAACATGGTATGTGCCATCTCCATCGTACAATTTTTTTTAAACATTATAATCAGAAAGTGGATGAAAGTTATAAAATATGATGGAAGTTTAATGAAAAGTCTTGCTAAAATTTATGTAGAAACAACTATTAGGGCTATTAGTACGACTATTGGGGCTGGTAGTTAAATTTAAAATACCATATAGTATTTTAATTATAAAAAATAACTTCATACTAATTTTTCAGAAACCTTGCAGCATTTCAAACGGCAGGCGCAATTAAATATATCAAATCGGTAGTTTTTAAAAGCATTGCTTGTTTCCAGACATATGTAAAATAATTATTTTTTCATGGTATATGACAATGTTAAGAAAGTGTATTTATAACCTTGGTTATTTGTTCGGTATTGTCAATTTTCTTAGTTGGAATGTCTCATAAAGGCCAAATCTTGGGGATTTGTAAATCATGATGCTAATGTCAAGCATTTTTAAGTGATTTCCAATACCCAAATGTCAAATGATGTAAATGAACCAATTTCATCTCCAAATTAATTAAATCGATTTGATTGAATTTTCTGATGACATTACGATTCAAAATTCAGTCAAAAATGCATTGGCAGGAAAATATTCTAATTAGATAATTGTTTTCGCACTCACGAGTTTAAAATACTGTCAAACCGTTTTCATTTCGGTTTGAAACTAATACTTCGGTTTGATATAATGAAGACTGGCTTTAAAATATTTAAGGTCAGAGAACTCGGATATATCTTAGAGACAAGATCAGTAATGATCACATGGTTGATATATTCCATGATTACCATGGGATTCTTTTTTTTTTCAAGGAAGAATTGAATTTTAAATAAATGTGAACCAATAACTCACAATTTTTGGCTTTGTATTTTATTTTAAATTTTTGGCACCCAGGTATCAGGAGTCTTCGTTAACAAGAGCTCGGCAAACTGCGTTGGCGCGAACTATAGAACACAAACTAACTTTGCGCCTAACTTTTAATTCCATTGTGTAGATCTGGAACAATTCTGCCGGATCCCGCACTCGATTCAACTGGAAATACATTCAACGAATTTCCGGAGCGCTACGTATAGAGGACTATGAAAATCCACCGAAAATCAACCAAAAGAGAACAGAACAATTTAAAACCAATAATTGATGTCATTTAGTAAAATTTCTGAAAGAAGGTGTATACAAATCTAATTAGCGGATGGAAAATTATTATCAAATTTCCGTAAATAATGTGACAATAATTCAGTAAAAATAATTGTAAACAACCACGTATATTCATTTCTGCTTTGAAGCTCACTCGTTCATTATGGAAGAGAAAGCTAATTAAGTAATTAAGAGCAGTTAAACAGTAATAAAATGGACCCTCCGTGCATGGAACTGCCTCACATTATTGCTTTAGAGCTCTTCACTAATGAGAGCCTTCGTTCTCTGACGTTATTTCTGTCACTACTCAATGACGAGCCACTCCCGTGATCACGTGTAATTTTTTTAACGGTATATTTATGGAGCTTCTTGTCTCTAAAGGGTATTTTATCTACGTTGTCATGCTTTTTTCATTCCCTGTTTAGCGAAGCTATATGGAAATGTACGTGTCATTTTGCCTCTCTCTGCCAATTGGTGAACTTTTACTCATCTTATAAAGGTATACATTCCAGATTTTTTACGCTAATTACAATCACAAAGCAGCATTTGGCAGTTTCAGATTTAGTTCACGGATACAAAGTTAATGTTATTCCCTTGAATCCTAGTGTACTTCACTAGACGCCAATAAGATTATAATTATGAAAAAGTCCTACACAATCGTTAATGAAATATGGGTGATAGGTCACGTAGACTAATAAGTGCAATTCAAAATTGAACTTTAAGAGAAACTTGGCAGAGTGAGATCCATCTTGAGCAAACGATGTAAGAATAGTAAAAATTAATAAGAAAAAATATAATAAGAAATTAAAATAATGAAACAATATAATAATAATATATGAAAATTGTAACAAATAAAAATAGCATCAAATAAATGGTTTAAGAAATTAGATCAATAAAAAATGTAAATAATAAAATATAAAAAACAGTTAAAAATTACATAAAATGAAATGTATGAAGATTTTTGAGACAGGCGGCTCACGTGAAGAGCGCTTCTCGTGACTGCCAGTCGACATTCCTACGGACGGTCCTGGCACCGAAGAGCAGCAGAAGCAGCAGCAGCAGCGGCGCCTGCAGCCTTCTGCAGCGCTGCAGTCCTGCGCTCAGCAGCAGGCAGTAGCCCATGCTGCAGAAATACGTTAATTATTACAACAAAGTCAGAATCACATGTGAGATTTTATGAGGGTTAAAATGAAATGCTTCTTTGTATGTTTTCAAATAAAGTACAATTGAAATTTTATTCTGTCTTTTTTCTGTCACATTGCTGTAACAGACAGGAATTCTAAAACTGCCAATTTATATATTGTAACAAATTATATTCTCGTAGTTTAAAATTAGGACAAAATCATGACGATGTAACCAATCAAGCCGAGCATTACTAGGAGCACAAAAAAATTGATCAATAAAATTAAGCATGCAGATCAAGTTTTTAAATTACAATGCCTGATCTTCGCTCATATTCACGATATTGTTTGTGATTCCTTTTATTATTTTCTTTTTCGTGGTAAGCTTAGAACGTGCATATGGACTATGTAATTGCTGTTGCCGGCCCGGCTGATAAACTGATAATAAAATTGATATTTTCTAGCGATCAAAGCGCCGAACACGCTATTGTAGTGTAATGTATTATATGCTGTGTCAGGGTTTTTCTTCTGTCAATTATTTTCGGGAATAAACAGTGCGAGTAGTACTTCCAAATTTTATTTTTATCCACTAATATCAGTGCTGCAGTACGTGAAGCTAAATCACAGCTCATTGTCAATCCATACCAAACAAATTACAGTGTACAAATTTTCAACACTGGGCGGCTATTAATCAATTTTCCTTTTCATTTAAATTCGTGCAGACGACACACGTTTTTATAACCTTAACATGCCAATTTTCAAACTGACTTCCGTTAATTCACGAATTAACGAAAACGAAAAATTATTAACGGATTCGTTAATTTTCAATTCCCTGCATTAGTGTAACCAAATTCACAATTTAAATTCTCAATTTCCTACCAACATGCGATTAATTTTGACCTGCTCATTAGCTTGTTCAGTAATTTGGCCTATGCTGCTGAAATAGATCAAACTAAATGCGGTAATTCACAGTTGAACTTCACATGAGATTCACCAATTAAATTTGCTCTTCAAACTCACACTCCAGGCGTGCATGCAGCGACGCAAACAAATTTAACGGAAACATTTCAATTAATTTCATTCTCAATACAATCCTGATCAAAGTCATATATATTAACTATGCTATTTTTAGCGCATTGTCTCATTTATGAGAAAAAATCACTATTGTGCTCGCCATGTCCGTCCGTCCGTCTGTCTGTCTGTCCGTGTGTCTGTCCGTCTGTCTGTCCGTGACTTCACGTTTTCGTCGACGAGAAAATGCGCTCTCTTTCACTCACTGCAGTGAGTACTGAGTTACATTTTTAAAACGTTAATCAGTTATATTAAAATCAAGCGCATAAATAATAACTACGATATTACTGAGAACCTGAATCTGTTATATCAAATTCGAACTCGTAAATAATAACTATGATAATACTGAGAACCTAAATCGGTTATATTAAAATCAAACTCATCCATATTGACTTAGCTTTTAGTAATAATCTGGATACATTTTATCCCAATCAAAACCGTAACTATTAACTGTGCCATTACTGGATCCGTGAATCATTGATATCAAAATCCAATTCATTGCTCCCGCCTTCATTCCCCAATATCAGGACGTGACGTGCGCGGCCGCTTTATTGCTGCCGTCGGATACGCGAGATCAGATAGCAGTTAATGACGGTCATATTAACTGAGAATTGCCTTAATTGGCTCACACATAATTGCCGTCATCGGCCTGCGATACGAGTCATCGGCCTGCCCCCTGCGATACGAGTCATCGGCCAGCTCCTGTGATACGAGTCATCGGCCTGCCCCCTACGATACGAGTCATTGGCCTGCCAACTACGATACGAGTCATCGGCCTGCCCCTCGCGATACGACTCATCGGCCTGCCACCCCGCGATACGACTCATCGGCCTGCCACCCCGCGATACGATACGGATAGCTTTAATTAAAAAAGTAGTGAGCTGTTAACCTAAATCACAACCTTTAGTAAAAGAAGTAAGTTGTACGGATATCCTTCAGCAAAAAAAGTGCCTTGTACGGATAGCTTTCATTAAAAAAAGTAGTGAGTCGTAAACCTAAATCAAAACCTTCAGTAAAAGGAGGTTTTGAAGAAGTTGTACGGCAAAACCTTCAGTAAAACAAGGGAAAGTATTGCAAAAAGATGGTAAATTAAGCCTTACATCACGAGTTGAAAGGTTTGGCATTACGGAAATGACAGTTAATCGCAGGTGAAAAGATGTAAACACGACGAGAGGAATGCATCATGAAGCATTTTTAGAAATGCGGCGTTATGAAAAAAATGCGACATGTGGAGAATGCAAAACGAGGAGAATGCGACATGAGGAGAATGTGACATGAGGAGAATGCGACATGAGTAGAATGCGACAGGGGGAGAATGCGGCATGAGGACAATGCGACACGAGGAGAATGCGACATAAGTAGAATGCGACAGGGGGAGAATGCGACATGAGGAGAATGCGACATGAGGAGAATGCGACATGA